TGGGAAAGTTTTGGTTGGGAAAAACAAAAAAAGGGGGGGTTGGCCCCCCCCCCCCCCCCCCCCCCCCCCCACGCGCCCGCCTTTGTACCTACGGCCGCCGCCATCGCTTTCCAGGAGACCAAGCTTCCACAGGTCAAGTTCGACCCTAGCACTCAGAGTGGAGACGCCCCACCCGCCGCTTCGGGCGATGCGAAGCAGTGGTTGATGTCCTTCACGCCAGGTACTAACCTACCTACCTACCGTTAGGTTTAACAACGTGACGTTGACGTTGTTCGGCGAGTGCACCTGCTCCTCGTCTTCTTTGATGGAGTGTCCGTTGCCGTCAGGAGCGTCCCCTGCCTGAAGCTACTCTCTGGTAGCTGGAGTTTGACCCGCTGACAAACATGCGTCAACGGTTGAAAAGAGTAGGTGACGTTCGCATGCTCGGCGTTCGAGGTTCAGCATGCAGTGGGGGGAGTGTCAATAACGCCGGTTGATTAGCGCTGGTGGCGCTGAATAGCGCTGGTGAAATCGCTGGGCACACACTGAATCACCCAAGTCATTCTCGTGTGTATTGAATAGTGCCGATCGATGCGCCGAGCACACACCGGCGGTTAATAGAGCCCCCCCCACTGCTGTAGTACTATTGCGAGTCACTTGTCGGCCATCAAGTGCTTCCAGCCACTGGTTGCCTCCGTCGACGTTGTATAATCCCAGCATGCTTGTGAAATAGATCCGCCAAGTTCTCAAAGAAGACCTCGCGCCGTTTTTGTCAAGAATCGCACAAGGGTTACCCCCCCCCCCCTCTCCAAGGCACCAACGCGGTGTCCACTACTTATTTTTTTTGTTCGTCGATCCGATTGTCGCAGCTGACTTCCGCGAACTCAAGGAACTCTACGGCATGGAGGAGTCCAACTTCGAGCACCGCAGCGAGGGGCCCAAGTCAGACTACTACGACCCTCTCACGCATGGCAACCGCGAATCGAACCGCCAGTAAGCTAGGCCGTTGATCTGCAGCACGGTTTGCTTTTGGTTCTCTGGCTCATGCAAGCTGTGTGCGCCATGGCAAGTTTATTCGACAAAGCCGTGAGGTTGCTCAACATGTGGCAGGAACCAGGGAGCGATGCTGTCTGCATCTTGGGGTCATGGTGCATCGTGCTGAATACACCGCAGTGGTACGGTGGTCGTGGTACGGTATTTAGCTTGAGTTCACTGCTCTTTGTTGTCTCCTTTTTGTCCCCGGGCGACCCTTGTTCTTGTTGTCATTGCATTGTTGTGTATTTAGTCCCCATCCATTTAGGGTTCCTATACTGTTCGGTACTTAATATGTTTGGCGCAACAGCCACAGTCACGTACGGGAGGAAGGTACATGTAGTCACAAAATAACCTCTTTGTTTTTTGTCCCCCTCTTGTCACCTGCTGCGGTTCTTGCCTTCAATTTGTATCGCGAGAAGGGCTCAGCAGTGTCCCCTTCCCCTCTTACACTCGCGGAGCACGCAGAGAGACGGTCCCCTCGAGCAGACCCCAAAATTCTTTCGCGCAATCGGTCGTGCGTCGAAGGGCAGCAACTAATCGCGGCCAACTCGAGGCTGTTGAGTAGGGCCGTCTTTTGTACCTCGGTGTGTACGTGCAGCAGCCCCAGCCTCACGACCCTACAACTGCTGCTTTTGAAGCAGGAAGCACGAACCCCCTCCTCTCCACAGCTGCAGTGCGTCGGAGTGCTAAAAAACAATCTGCCAACTGTTGACGGGCGGTTTGAAACGAATCGCCAGAAGGCGCCACAGGAGAACAGCAGCGTTGAAAACCGAAAACAACCAGCCTCGGGTCTGGCCAACATGTGTTGGTGCTGATCGTACACTCCCCCTTTCCATGCCCAACAACGGGCGGACGTGAAAAGAGTCGTTCGTCATCGCACCAGCAGTCGTTCCCAAAAAAAAACATCAGGTACGAGGCACGGTGCATAACGTGACATCAACAATTCCTGGAGACCGAACAATGCTGCTTTCCCGTCTTACTACGTCTGCTCGTCAACGTAGCTACGGCAGGAGAGAACGGGGCAGCAAACCATTAGAAGGCTGGCAAGCACAGTGGTGTGAGGTTGCGTGATTTCTCCGCGCGTTCGTTGCACTCAGCCCAACCACAAACTGGCGCCGGCTGTGCCCCGCGCTGAGCCTTGGTCCAAAAACACACCACTCCGGAGTATGCCCGAAAGCACAGGGCTTGATCAAATCATTCCTCCTATTGCGAGTTTTCCTGCAAAGAGCGCGCCCTGGTTTCGACCGCTTGGTGCTGAGGGTGCTGCTGCAGATGATGCGCTTGATGGCATGATCAATCCTTGAGCTTGGCCTCCTTGAGCATGGTTTCGAGGTCGCCGGACTGGTGAAGCTGCGTCAAAATGTCGCACCCGCCGACGAACTCTCCCTTAACGTACAACTGCGGGATGGTGGGCCACTCCCTGGATTGGCGTTGCAAAAACAAGTCGGCCGCCGTGGGGAGGAATGATTCATAGGGTCCAACACCGAGGTGATGAAAAAAAAAAAATTGTCGTCAGCAGGAGAGCGTTAACTAGAGCAGGTGTCACCATACTACCGCCAAATTTTGAATCCAAACCTTGATGGTCGGGTACCGCTCTTTGCCCTGCAGTTTTATCCTGCGACTGCCATTCGACCACAAATTGTGCCGGAAACGGACCACGCAGCAACTTGCACACTCACACAGAAAAGATGGAAGCAGCCCGCAATGCCTGGCGATGGGGGTGGTGCACACTATCAGGTGGGCAGGCGGTGGGTGCTGGTTTATTTCCAAGCAAGACCTGCTCAGTCACCAATGCTGCCACCATCTATCGTACGTACGTAAGACTCACGAGAATGTCTTGATCCCCTCTCGAAGGGGAGGGTAATCCAACACGTTTACGCTGCTGAAGCTCACTCCTGCCGAAAAAGAGACCGCGATCAATTCACATACATTCGACCAGCAGGAGACGCAAACGGCCGGAGGGGAAAAGTCAAGAGCAAGCCAGCGGTGCGTCAAGTCAAGCACGGCAATGTGCGCGGAGGGTACGGGGTGTGGTTGCTCGATTCTTCCATCATTGGATTTTGCCCCTTGTGTTCACGCACCCCTTTTCAAGACAGGGCTATATCCTCTCCGTTTGGCGGAAACGCTCTGGCAGTTGATAATTTACCTTCTCAGGTTTTGAATACGTTTCGGGTTCAGCCTCGTCGTTGTATTTGGGCAATGATGCTTTGTTCGTGGTGGGCTGGCAAACATAGAAAGAAGACGTGATAACAAGCAGTTATGAGCACGTGTAGATCGACCCCGGGGGCACAAAACAGATAGGTATTGCTTTGGCAGTCATGGTCATGAACAGGCACAGCATTTCCTGCTCCACGGACCACAAACGCACTCAAAGGTTACTATTGCTGTTGCTGCGAAGGTCCTACTCGTGAGGGTGCTCGAATGTGCCTTGTGTGTGCATATTGCTTACCCTCTGTACGAACGCAACATCGTCGGTGGTATGCATTTTTGTTGCTCAAAATTTCATCAGACTTTTTGCGTGCTTGACAAAGTGGCACACCCAACCCTTCTTGGCGACGTTAATTACGTAACACACGCAGACTTTAACTTTCCTAGGAACCCCCACAAGTTTTTACTTGCTGACAAGCAAACGTCCGAAGTTATGCCCCTTACCTTGGGAGTGAAGGATGCTGACCACCTGCTTGCTGAAGCCGCACTGAGGCTGGGCGGGGGTGCCTTTCATGTAGAGCATAACGGGGTTGCTCTCCACCTAAATAAATTGAGCGATATCCACAGCAGTGCAGCAATCCGCATCAGGGGGCGACAGGCAGCCAGCAGAAGCAGCAAGCAGTCAACGACTTTGAAAGGGTAGCCGAGGGTAGCTGGTGCTTTGCTGGGTCTTGGCGTGAAAGCGGTGTGAATGCATGTCTGACATCAACAAGGGTCAAATTGGCTTTTACGAATCGAGAGACAGAAGTGCATCGATACGAGCGGCGGTGCTATGGACAAGAGCGCCGTTTATGCGTTAGGTGTGGGGGGCGGTGTGGGAGGCTGACTCTGCGACGCATAGGCATCGACAGCAGTACATTACACACCGCACCACGCAGCACAGAAAGCAGTATTGGTAACAATGAGGAACTGGTCCCCTATACAGAGAGGCTGGGCCTGAAGAAGTCACGGATCATGGCAATCGCCAGGTCTACATACAGCGTCGTACAAGGCTACTCGGCACGCTTGCCGGCTCTGACACCTCTTGCAGTGAAGCAGTGAAGCCATATGGCAGCTGAAAGGCCGCACCTGACCTGCTTCTTGATGAGGTCCGAAACCTCGTCAGCGCCCTCTGGTACTGCTTTCCGCTTGGGCTTGAAGTCGTCATCCGAGCCATCCTCGTCCCCCCCGCTGGCCGCGGCGAATCTTCGTCGCTGTTGCATCTGCTGTTGCGGCTCCACCGACCATGCCTGGCTGCTCTTTGACAGCGTCTCACGTCGCAACTGCAGCTGCTGCTGCAGTGCTGGGACTTGAACAGAAGTCAGTGAACGGATCGGGGTGGCAGGAAGAGGGCTGCCGAGCTTTGGGGAGCGCGCAAGCGCGCGAAGCAGGCCTTGGCGAGCAGCAGAGTAAGAAGCCGCCATCCTTGCGCCGTGAATTCGTAACTCTACCTCAACACCTAGAGAGTAGTGCACAGCAATGCAGAGGGCACGCTGTCTGCGGGCTGTCTACAAAAGCTGTGTGTCTGCTGCTGTCTGTTGTGTGCTGCTCGAGGGGGGGGGGCTTTACTGGAGCGGGTGCCCACAAACATACACGGAGCACCCGGTCCAAACCTCTCATCATCTGACAGCAGACAGGTGACCCCGCACAGCAGCAACAGAGAGACAGAGACAGCCGTTGTTGACAAGTGGTGACACGCTGTCCCTAGAGCCTTCGGCACAGGTGAGCATTACTGTCGATGCCTGTGGCCATGGTTATCGATTAACTGGCGTGCGTCTCACCCTCGAAGAGCTCTATCGGAAGGGACTGCTTCTTGCGGGCGGCGGCGCCCGTCTAAAAAAATCATGCGCATGCGTGCCGCTTTATTTCGAGACGCTGCCACATGTCAGCCGATGAGGATAGAGGATCGGGCGTGTTGGTGGTAGCTTGTCTCTTGCTTCTTAGCTATTGGCATGATGCACAAACCAATACGCAGGGCGTGCACCGTGGGTGTGTTGTTGGAAAGAAGAGCACTTTGCCGCAGCTCCCGGTGGCAACAAGAGGAAAGTCCGAAAAATGGACGGGGCACAGAGCACGGAGTGTTGAACACGGATCATGATAGTAAATTACACGGTCATCACTCGTCATCGGGCTACTCGGTGATGGCGATGGTTTCGGAGGTGCCGCTTGGCTCCAGGCACGCTGCTGCGTTCCAGTAGGCATTAACGTTATGTTTGGCTCGGTCCAATGCGGACGTGTCAGGAAGCCAGAGCAGCGCCTATACTTTGACCGCCTGGGTTGAACAACAACTGCCTGCTTCAGTATGCTATCAGCAGGTGTGTACATGTACATATGCGGGTATCTCACTACAGCAGTAGCTGGGTTATTTACCGGACACCTGTGTCCAAGCCCTCCCTATTGTGCCTGACCTCTGGGTGCTGGGTTGTCGTTGACCGGAGGGATGACGCACGTTGTAGCTCCCGGAGACAAGAAGACACGGGCGATCCCTTCAAGTGCCATTGGCGATGGTTGCTTCGGCGCAGTATTACCGGAGAAATATGTTCGCAGATGTACAACAGCAGTACCACTTTTTTCGACCCCTCTCTCATGCTGTCCCCCGTTCGCCCGCCCGCTCGCTCGCTCGCTGCCTGTCCCACTCCTATCCGTCCCCACCACCCACGTGCGTTGTTGTTTCCCTGCGACGGCATGGTACACGCTACAGACTCGGGCCGTATTTTCGACAGTGCAGCTCCTGCTGCGGTATCGTAACGCAGACGGATATCGTCGTTTCCTCGTTGGCGTTTCACCGGCCCGACCGCCTCTCAGCATCGCCAGATTGCCGTCCGGCGCTGTCTATTATAGCACGACCTCAACCCACATAACATAGTCGTAGACCAGCATGAGCTTCAGCAGAGCAGTGGCGGCGAGCGCGGTGGCGGCCTTTGGCGTTTTTCTGTCCCACCAACAGCGCGGACAGGCGTTCTTCGTGGGGACGCCGGCGGTGGACTTGAGACGGACAGCAGTTTACTCGAGGGGCCTGGCTGCAGGGTCCATCTCCAAGAAAGGGCGGCGAGCCGGCGTCGTCCGAGCTAGGTGCGTTTCCACACCCAATGTATGTTGCGTTCCGAGACCCACAAGTGCAGCCTTTTCATAGGATGCCATGGTCTCTTTCTTGTTGACGAGAGAACCGCCTCATTTTCTTTTTTAATTGTGTCTGGCCACCGCTGTTTGCGGTGAACCTATGCATGTAGCGCGTGCGTGCCCGTTTACGTAGTCGGGCGGTTGTCTTACTAACCTTTGTTTCTTGTTCCCGCCGAGACCGGTGATGGTGCCGCCGCGTTCTTCTTCGGAGAATACCGGTGTGTGCCGTCGTTCTTCACCCCAGCGTGGGGTCGTTGCGTGTATAGCAATGCCTACGGTTGCGACTGCTGACGTACCAGCATCAAACGTGTAATTTTACGGTGGCTTGCTCTTTCTCGGATTGAGGTTGGCTGACGCCGCATGTATCGTACGACCGCTCACGATGAGCCGAGATGTCTTGTGTCACTTCACACAGGAGGAGTTAGTTTTTCCGTATATTCGTCGCTACCTCGAGCAACAGTTTACCGCACCGCTTTTGAAGAGACGATGCGTTCAGGAGTCATTCTGGCTGGCGTCGGCCCCCCAGGGTGGAGGACGATGCGGCCGTTGCTTCTGTTGTTGCTGGCGCCGTTTTCGTCATCATTGTCGCCGTCATCGTTTGTATGGTTGTCTCGACATTCTACAGTGTTTCCCTCCAGTATCTCTCTGCACTACTATGTGGCGTGCTGCCCCCGAAAATTGATCACGCGAGCTCCATTTTGCGGTTTCATTGGCACCAGGGGAGATGTACGGTGCGGCACAACCAGACGCTTGCACGTGCACACCGTGCACGAGTGTTTGCACGCGCACACCGTATCTTCTTCCCACTGGAATGGTCACCAACCTACTGTTGTCCGCCTACTGTAACAGTAGTTCGCCGTTTGGATTTTGTTTTTTCGGGCAGGTTGACTGCCACGATGGCGCCAGAACAGACAGACACCGTGAACGTACTGAACGATGACGGAACCAGAAAGTCCGGGGAACAGATCCGAGAGGTGAGCATGCCGCCGTACCGCTATCCCCGCTGGTTTTGCGTCCATGTGCAGGCATCACAACGAGGAATCATTTTGATATGTACCCTCCGCGACAATTCGGTATGTATGTACATCGCGCGACAATGGTATTTATCGATACGTTTTAGGGTCGATTCACCATGAACGTACATCGGTGGTTTGTAAGCTCGTTCGGGAGGGATGCGGGCTTGAAGCGGTGGGGGCACGTAACTCGAGAGCAGCTGTTCTACCAAGCACATCAGTTGTAAGTACCAAACACATCCGCTGCAAGTGCTTCTTGTGACTTGAAGACTAAAGAGTGGCGGCAGTGCAACTAGAACGCAGGCGTGCACCGCTGTGTGGGCTCTCTTGTCGTCGCCCAGTTGTCGTGCTTGTGCAGGGTGTGCTGCGAGTGGTGGACGACGGGAGTTAGGATTGCTTCTGTGTTTGTGATTACTTGCAACTTGCACGCCCTGTCCAAGCACCAACCGGGAAACACAGCAAGCAGTGTGTGGGTTGCGTGCCTACCACGACATGGCATGCAACGACTCGTTTCCCTCCGGAAAACGGGATTGTTTCGGGCGGTGTGTTTCGCCGGTTCACAGGCGTTCTACGGTATAGCTTTTAGGACGTGAGATGGCGACGCCGACTCGCAACAGGAGACTTGTTAGCCCACAGCCCACGTATCGGCGGGGGTCCCGCAGGACCGAAGGATGGGAGTGGGGACCTCGGTGGAGAGAAGCGCGTCCTCTGTGTGACCCCGGCTCTGGCCCGTCGTGTCAAGGGAGACTGGGAAAGGGGCGTAAATGATCGGTTAGCGCACGGGGCGACTATTGTATGGTTGACGACGCAATAAAGCAAAGCCAACGCAAGTACAATATAACACAATCCTCAATGAAGATTCGATGGGCGTGTCTATTGTTTTCGTCAACGACGAGTATAGTCAACGGGATGCGTGCGTTTAACGTGTTGCTGCGCTCCGTCTCACGTTGTGCGGTGTGTGTGTGCAGGAATTCTTCATGGCGGCGATGACGGGGCAAGAGCGTGGGCTCCCTCCCGGGTCTTACCTCAACGACACCGTAGAGGCAGGACCGGGTGTCGAGCAGGTGTCCGTCGTGTGGCAGCCTTACGAGGATAAGGTGAGCGCCCGTAACATGTTGCTACACAGGAGTGCTGTACGTGTTCGTCCGCTTGTTGTTGTTGGTGTTGTTGTTGGTGGTGGTGTTGGTGGTGGTGTTGGTGGGTGTTAGCGTTATAATTGTCCTGACATCAATAACCGTTTCATTCATTTCCAGTCTCTTCCGTCATCCATACTGGTCAAATCGGCACAGACGTCTTCCATAGTCACACGCTCAAGAGGCTTGAAAGATTCATCCCTCTGCTCCATTGCCTCACCCGTTTTTTTTTTTTTCTAGGTTCTTGCCCCGGCAGGCTCTAGCTTGCTCAAGAGCGCCACCGAGTGCGGAGCCATGGTGATCGACAACACCTTCTGCTTGACAGGCCAGTGCGAGGCGTGTATGGCGGAGGTGGACGGGGAGGTGGTGCTGTCTTGCATGGTGCCTGTGCCGGCAGACGGAAGGTGAGCCCCATGGATGAAGTTGTCTGTCTCCTTAAGAACCCTCCGCCTCCCAATGTTAGTCAAACAGTTCCTGCTTCTAACGCGGGAGCCTCCCCTCAAGGCGGTGATTGCGTTAAGCATGTGGTAGTAGGCAAGCACGACGTGAAAGAAGGGGAGTGAAATACTTTTTTTTTTCTCTCACATTCGCTCTATAGCCCACAAAAATGGGGAGCCCGTGGTCGCAAAAACCGGCACATACGACGCCGCGGGGAAACAAAACAAGAATAGAGTACAAACCACTCGGAAAAAGAAAACAAAATGATAGAAAGACAAGAACAGCTACCGCACCGACCGGTCGAGAAAAGGAGCCCTAGGAAACCGATCAAAATAAAACAATACAAAACGGTATATTGTACTGTATGTCAGTCAGTGGTTGTGTGTAAGCCGAGGGAGGAGATGTGTGTGTGTGTGTATGTGTATAGAGCAACGATGAGTGTTGTAGACTAGAGAGCAAGCAGGTGCCAAGGAATGGCCATTGCATGCGACTGCTCATGCGCCATCAGTGGGTGTGTGCGTAGACGTAGACACGGTAGAGGTTTGTGGACGCGGAGAAGTAAGTGGCTCGAACACACACGTCACAACCACGCGGAAAAAAAAAAAGTATGTCTCACAAACAAACAAAGACGCATGTTCGAAATCGAAGGCTGAAGCGTGCTCTACGGGGCTGTAGCCCGGTTTCCGCGTCGAAGAAAAAAATGATCCGAAATTGCGTGGGTGCGAGCTAAATGCTTGAAGAGGCCACCTATGACTGAGAGATGATCGCTTCGCTGACTTGCTTAACAAAAATGTTTGACGTGACTGTTTATGAAGTAAATATTTAAAACTTGTCTGTACCCTCGCTGCTTGCTCCCCTCCTCTTCACGTTGCTAGGACTGACGTTGAGGCTCTGGTGTGTAACAGCGATGCCGCGTGGGACGACATGATGGTATAGGCAAGGCGGCGACCAGCAGCACCATCTCTCCGCAGAATTTATTGGCTTTCGACCTAAGGATCGGATGCGTTTTTTTTTTCCCTTCTTGTCTACTTGATCAGTAGATTGCACACACACTTGGTGTAACTTTCACCGGGGTCGGTGAGATGGATAGGACCCACCAGCGCTGGGCGCCTGGATATCGTGCAACGATGGGTACTTGTATCGATCTGGATGCTAGCACAAAGCAAGCAGTGTCCAGTCCACTACTGAGCGCTGGGACTTCATTGTGTAGTCTGAGGAGTATAGTGTTCGTTGGAGGAGTTGCTCTTTTCGGGGTTGGAAATTTTGTTCCATGCGATATGAGAAAAAATGTTCTTGTCCGAAGCTATCTGTAGGGTGAAAGACCACTGCTTGCTGATTGGTTTTGAAAACTAGGCTGTTCGTCCCCATTGAATCAACCAATGGCTGACTGCTGTGCTCTCTTTCACATTTATGACGGCCGTTGCGTTTATTTCATTTTTTGACGTGGCCACACCAACTTGAAGGGCCCGTCGGTTCGCCACGCCTTTCATTACGAAGGCGCTTCGAGAACCCCTTCCTGTATTCGTGAAGCAAGAATAGCGTTGTATTATGGATGAGGCTAGGGTGTAATGATGTTGTTAGGCCCACATATGTAGTGTAGCTTGCCGTCTTGTCCGTTTTTTATGTCCTCTACTTGGAACATTGAATACTGCTCGTTGTTTCTTGGAGTTATTTTTTTGGAGAGAATCGAGTAGGGCTGAAGCCCCCTCGAAACGTGCGACGCTGCACGTTGTACCTACCACACTATCTATCTGTTGCTGATTGTTGGTGCTACCTCGCTAGACTTTCATTTGTTATTGATTCGTTGGTGCTACCTCTCTGTCGTTGTGTTGACTTGTGGGCGACGTCGTCGCTTGCTTGTCTAAGCGAGCTCACATCCCTCCGTCCTGATTGATCTATTCTCTGCAATGTCCCTGCACATATCTGCTACCCTCTTGACATCTCACCTTCCGTACTGGTCTATAATAAACAGTTGGTTGTGATTTTGTTTTACGAAGAACTGATTTTCCTTTGTAGGGAAGATGATGGAAACATGGATCAAAGTGTGCGTTTCCGCGCACTGCTTATTTACTACTGCTGCATCGACGTTGCGCGTTCGCATGTGTGCGTTTGGTATAGCTTGTGACCACAAGAATCGTTTCCGTACCTTTTGTAAGAATTTCCGTGCTGTAAGCTTCAGTTACATTCTGAAGGTTTACGTTTCGTCTCATCGTCTCATCGACGGACGTTGAAATTTTTTCTCGCCGCTGCGTGTTCCTTCCCATGTCATTCCGATACACCCCTAGACTATAGTGTCCCTGCCCGACCGGGTCTCTCGACCTGTGACACACGTCTCGCGACAAACCAGCAAATGTCGAAGCGTCAGTATGAGTATGCACATGTTTTTGAATGCCCGGCCGCCAGGCCCCCTTCCACTCCCCTCTGGATATTCTTCTGCGGAGCCCCTATGAGGGTGCGCCAAGCGCCAACAACATCATCTGGCGGTCATCTAGCTCTACACCCAGACCTCCCTCCCATTGCCCACCCCACATCTCTATTTCAGGATAATGACAGTCCTCGTATCTGTCGCTCGTCGCGCTGTAGCTGTCCGCCATGTAATTTCCAGCAGTTGCGCGATACCTGCTACTGCTGTAGGCCGAGAGGCATCATCAACTTTGCCAACTCTGGTCTGCTGTCCGCGCCGCTCGCTGTCTACGGCGTCTCCTCGAGGACCACGTAGAGAAGGGGGAAACAGAAGAAACTGCTGGTTGCCATCTACTGGGCGAGAAGTCGCTGCACAGCTGGGTGGAGCCTGCAGGCGGAGCAGCAGCAGCAGCAGCAGCAGTAGCGATTCGGGAGGCTTGGCGAAACCTCTCCTGAAACCGATGAGATCGGTGCTGTACACGCCGGGTTCATCGAGACATCTCTACAAGATCAGGGAGATCGCTTGCGATGCTTCGCTTATTGACTTGGAGGTGGGATACGCGGTTTTCGTGTTTTGTAGGCCTCTTCCCAGTTGCGTCCGCCGTATGTGTTAGTTATTTGTGGATTGTGGTTCGCAAAGTTGCTGCAACAATAGCAGGAGCAGTAGTATAGGTCTGCCTGCCCACCGATGATGCCAGCACGTGTTCCCAGTTTCTTCATGTGCACGGCAGTCGTTGAGGGCAAGAGTTGCTTGCAGGAGTGGTTTTTCGACGTCATCGGAAGTCGAAAGTCCACGGCAGTTTACAACTTTGCTGCAGGAATTTCGGCGTCCTCAATCGGACGTTAAGGGGCAACTACAAGATGAGCAGGATCAGATCGTACAACGTCGTATCCATTTTTTTGTAGATGGGCATACGCAAATGTTACTTCGTACTTGCCTAGATTTAGACTGCGGTGGGTGACGTAAACGTTGTACTGATGTCGGTGCGCACGGCTCAAGATGATGCATGTTCTTGCACAACGACCAGGACCAGCGCCACCGAAAACATTAGCTGCGTTACAGTAAAGCCGCTCGTTTCTCATGTTTAATCACCAGGGTGGAGGCGATTTCACGATTGACATACAATCTAAATCAATACAATGATAATTGCAGCAGTAGATTCGTCTACTATTATAGAAGACTACATGTAGCAGAGCAGTAGGATGCAGGCCATCGTGTGTGTTTGCCGTGCCGGTTACTCGCGGACTCGAATATTTCTGCCAGCAAGCAAAAAAATTAATATCCAATGGACGCTGCCGCAGTTTATAACGTGCCTCCCGCAGGAAGAACCTGGAAACGTACAGAATTTTCAGGCTCAAAGAGCACACATTTATTGTATCTTGATTGACTTCTTCATGAACTACTAGCGTACAAGAACAGATGCTCGGGTAAGAAGGCTATGCAACTCTAAATATGATAAAAATCTGCCCTTGGGACAGATACTCTGCACAGAGGAGACATGGAACGAGCGTCGGGCAGAGTAAAGAGGCTGTTCGTGAAGCGGTGGCACGTACTGCTGCTGTTGTAGTTGAATGGTAGTACCTGGTACACGCCAATGGTTGCGGGGTCGAGCGACCCGTTAGCAGGGAGACCTGACCTTCGTACAGCATTATGCATAGCTGCAGTAATGCGACGCGCGGGTAGACTAACAATAGTGTCTTCGTAAACGGTGTGTTTGTACCTGTGCATCAGAGTGTTGGAGATACTGAGGACGCACTTGTGTCAAAGCTCAAAGTATCTGTTGTTCGACGCGCGCAGTCCTCGTTGGACCTGGAACATTGTTCGTCAACTCGTTTCGATGCGTACCAGACGCTTGAAGTTTGGTGCTGAGAGAGGGCACGAAGGGAGGATTGAATAAACATCGCCTTTCGACTGCGCGCATGTCGTGGCGTGTGTCCACCTCAAGGGGATCGCCTTCGCCAAGATACTATTATAGTGCTATGTTGTATACGAATTAGAAAGGGGGGTTTCGCAACAACCCTAAAACCCTAACCCCCCAACCTACCCCCGTGCCCCCTACTAGTCCAACCCCAAGCTAGATATCCTCGTGAAGGCTACTGCCTGAAAGACAAAGGCCAGACTACCGCAAGAATATGGTTTGTGTTTGTTGGCCTCCCGGTAGTTTTCGCAGCAGGCCGCGGTCTGTGTGAGGTGCTCAATTTGTGACCGATGTCGCGGCCATCGACAAAACAGCTTGTCAGCGGGAGTTGTTTGAGGGGGTGTAGGGGGGGGGGTTGTACTCATAGACGTGCATACCGTAGTCGTTAGACCATTGACCTCGCATCTCTACAAATCCGGGACGCAGCACGCCGGGTTCTCACCGGACCAGGCTCTCACATCACCAAGCGCGAAGCGCCGTGAGGTATCCGGCGAGATGCATGAAGGGGGTGGGGGGGGAGCTGACCTCCCTGAAAAAAGCGGAAAGCCTCCGATTGTTGTTGTCGAATTCAAATCTCCGATTTTTTGCTGCACGGAACACGCGTGGGGCTCAAATTTAAAACACCTACACGTTTCGCTGGGTCGGAAGGGGGTGTGGCGATAGGACAACGGACGTTCGGGTTGGGGGAGAGCTCTCTTGCAATTCCCTATAATGCTGTCCCACGTGTTTGCGCTTTTGTGTGGCGGCGTTGGGCGGCGGAGCGAAGTCTCACGGTATCTGCGTATAGATCATCACAAGCACCAGAAATCGCACCCTAACAGGGGCATGCGGAGAGGGCCCTACATAGTGCTTCAAATTCTGCAGGCCGAGACTCAGTCCTTTGCTTTTTTTGTTTTTGTGCTGGCATACGCTTCCCTCAGACCTGTCCTGCTACAAAGAACACTGTATTGTATGCATGTGACCTATGCCTCCGGCGCTCGTGCCAAAGACGCTCCCTATTCGTGAATCACCACACAGCAGTTGCACTGGTGCTGCACTGCGCTATGTTTGCGGTAGCGCGATGCGCCATAAGTTTTGCCTCTACAAATGACATGCAATGCAACCCTGCTATTTAGCTAAATCGATCCTCACGCCGTAGCTGGTGACGAGCTGCGATGAAGTAGCGATGTGCCGGCCAAAACCTCCGAGCGGAGGCCAGCCCAACGCGTTGAAAATCGGGCACAGGCAGAGATTTCGATAACACTGAGAAAGACCTTTGGCTGGATATGTTTGTCTTTCTCACGTATGCACATCATACGATGCGCGAGCCCGCGTCGCAACCTTGGCTAAAATGCGGACAACGTCACGAAAATGTAGTGTTGCATGTCGGAAGCCCCTACAAACAAGAAAAAAACTGTTCCTAAGAATGTAGAAGAACCGTCGTTTGTTTTCCTCACCCGCGCGGTGCCTCCCTCGTCTTTTGGGCGTGTGCTTTCTCGACCGTTTTTTTTTCTTTTTCTTCCTGTGGCCTGCCTACGACCGCTTCTTTTCAGGATGGCGTGGCCCCGGAGGCGAAGGACAATGCCCGCGAGAGGGTAAGCTCTCCCCTATCGCTCTGTGTCGTGTTCGGTTGCAGTTGTATCGTTTTATGATATGTTTGTCCCCGTCTAAGGTATGCGCAACACTGCTGTTTCGTGTTATCCTTAGCGGTTCGAACAGCAGGTGTGCACAGGTTTAAAATGGCCGCACGAGAGTCAGGCTACCAAACCGCCAGGGTTTGAACGAATGCCGTACCACCATAACGAAATTTTGATATCGTTTTTGCAACGCTTCAAGAAGAGTTGTGCCGTTGAACAAGAGCCCGAAATCGCCCCAATACCTGCCGCTGCCGCTGCTTGATTTCCGCATGCTGCTGCTGTGCTTAAAACTTGTGTTTGAATTTTATGCGTCGAAATGAAAAAACAAACAAACAGGTTTGCTCTGAAGTTGCGAAAGGGGGCTACGGAAGGAAAGCGGTGGTGGTGAGAATTAACTCGCTTGACTCGCCCTGGGGGGAGGACGACATCAGGGAGGTGGCCAAGCTTACAGTTGACGCCGTCGTCATACCGAAGGTGCGAATCGCGTATATACTTCGCGCAACTATTCTTTTATCAGACCTACGCTTTTGCAAGCACATGCTCAACTGCTGTTGTGCCAGGTTTTTGTGTCGTATGGCCTTGCTTCCACCGCAGTGTTCAATTCAGCGGCGTGGCCGCTGCCTGCCTTTTACTTCAAAGCCTTAACCGTCCCACCTACCCATGCGTGTGCGCCGTTTTCAACGCTTGGCTTGAAGGTGGAAAGTGCGGCGGACGTAAAACGGGTGGCGGATCTCCTCCGTCATCACGGAGCCAAAGACACCGACTTGTGGTGAGCATTCTGGGGTCGAGAAGGCTGCTCGCTTGTTTTGGAACGCGGAGTCTGTCTCCGCGGCAAGGGTGCTCCACAAAGAGGCGGCGGAATAGTGTTTGTGGTAGACTGCATACATCGTGCGAATGCTAGTTGTGTTATCTAGCTGCTGCTGTGGCTTCGTCGCCATGACCATGTACACGTTGCTTGGTATTTGCGATGCTGATTCAAGGGTTCAGGTATCAAAGATTTGCGCACTGTGAAACCCTCCCGTTCGATTTCCTCGCCTGTGTGCGTGTGCTTGGGGACATGCACGCAGGTTTTGGGTCTGATTCTATTGAAATTGTGGACATGATTGGTAGTACTCAAGCCTCCGCCTCCCTCGGGGTTTCTCTGGATTCGCTTGCATGCTCGCAGCAACAGCAGCAAGGTGGCGACATCTTAGCAAGTACCTTTTTTTTTTTTTTTTCGTGTGTCGTGTTCTTCACCGACCCTGGACTCCTGACCCCTGGGGGCACCTCTCCGTTCACCCATCTCTTAGAATACTTGCGTACTTCTTTGGCCTGTCCATTCGAACGACTGGATGGTGTGCAACACAGGTGCATGATCGAGACCCCTCTTGGCGTGACAAGAGCCAACGAGATCGCTTCCGCGCACGAGACCGTGTCGTGCCTGGTGCTGGGCACGTCAGACCTGACAAGAGATCTGCAGGCGAACCACACGCCCGACCGCACCCCGCTTCTTTACAGGTGGGTGGTTGGTGCTGCCGCCCGGAACGTTTCTGGCCGGTATGTGTAGTCTTCAGAGCTGCCGAAACGCGCAGTCGGTCATTCTTTGGGGGAATACGGGCGCTTCTTGGGGGGGAGTTACAGTGGGAAACCGGCGTGTTTGTTTCAGGGTGTCGTTGTTTTTGACCGTGGCATGCCCTCATTGATTGGGGTTTTGTGAAAGGGTGGCGCGTGCGATGAGTTTCGTGGAGCCATGGGTGGTACATACGTACACACCATCCAAGGTGAAAGGGCAAAGCGAAGAGTACGATGCACACCATCCAGAGCAAGCGCGCGCGAAGATCTACCGCATCCCCTCAAATGCGCGTCCCGTGCCCCACCGATTCACCCAAGAGGGGGTTGATGATGTTGCTCCGGGAACATCGAGATTGTGCAGGGTGGAGGAGGAACGGCCCAAAACCGTCGGGGTTTTTGCTCTTGAGGCTTAGGAGTCACACACCACACCAGACCTTCAGGTTGTAACCGCTGTGACCTCCTCCTCGTGTCGTTTCCGGCGGTAACCACCTTGTCCTTTCGCGAGTAAAACCGAGTAAAACCGCCGTCACCTGGTTCCTCGTATCGTTTCGGGGGTAACCGTTTTAACTTTTTTTTTTATTCTCGCGTCGTCTCTGCGCCCCAGCCTGTCCCGCTGCATCTTGGCGGCGCGTACGTACGGCCTGCGCTGCCTCGACGGCGTTCACCTGGACATGACGGACGCTGAGGGCTTCGAGCGTGCGTGCAGGCAGGGCAGGGATATGGGCATGGACGGCAAGACGCTGATCCACCCCAGCACGGTGAGCTCTCTCCTCTCCCTCCTGTCGCTTTTGGCTCTCGTTCGGCGGTCACCGTTCTGTAGATATGATGCGGTGCTGTTGCGTCGGGCGTTTGGTCACGGCGGTATGGGTTTCTGAGTGTGTGTATTTGGTGGTGGAGCTTGTGCGTTTGGTACCATGGGCCGCGCACGCGAAAAGAGGTTCTTCCTACCCGGAAGGATGTTGCGAGGGTGCTCAGGGGCCCAAACGGCGAGCTTTTGGACCCGGTGTACCTCAAGAAAAACGTCTGGGAGATTACGAAAAGAGATGATAAGACCAGGATCGTACGTATGAACGAACAGCCTCGACCTTTGGCAATGGTATAGGCGAGTCCCACGGGTCCCCAAACCTGTCTTCCTACGTGAGGAACCGCTGAAAGGGACTCTCGACGGAGCGAGAAAGGAAGAGGGGACCCGCAGCATGCATGATGATATTTGTACTGCTTTAGAACAATGTCCTTTCCTCAAGGGACGAGCAAAGTCCCAGTGATCGGAGGTTCGCAGTTTGTGGCCACCCCTTCAAGGCTATCTCCGACCGATAGCAAAGTGCCTCAAAAACAATTTGTCGATACCTCGAAAGCTTGACACGGAATAAAGCACACTCATTTGAGTTTTCAGAGATAGTGCCCTAAGCACTTTTCTCCCTCTGTTTCTTCGTGTGTACGCCTGTTTTTTTTTTGCACAGGTTGTACTGTTTCATTCAACCATTCACACTCTCATGTTTTCCGGTGCGATTATGCATGTGTGCCAGGAGTGCTTCAGCTTTTGTGTATATGGTGGGCTCTCTCTCCCTCCCTCTCTCTCTCTCCTGCCCGTTCACACGCACACTTCGTCTGTCGTCCACGTTGGGCGTGTGAGCCGTGTTCCCCAGGCACTTCGTACCCTGTATTCCATCAGACACTGAAACACCCGCCTCGCGAGTGGTACTTGCTATCCGCCGGACACCTGCACAATAATAAAACACCAACACGTCTCACTGTCGCACACGAAGACGGCCTGCGTATTGATTCTACACAAGAACCGCTGTGGCGCATCATTTTGCCCCGCCGTCGCTGTGTATCTCACATGGGGTCGTCGTGACCCTCGTCACACCCTTAGCCCTTGCACCATGGCGGGTTCGTTCGTTGGCATCTCAGGTGGCTGTCGCGAACTGGTTTTTCGGCCCCAACGCCAGCGAAGTAGAGCAGGCCTACAGGGTGGTGGAGGTGAGCTTGGGGGTAAGGTTGGCGATCGAAAAATTGGCGTTAAGTCGAAGACACCTGTAATGTTCATATTCCTGTAGCCCGCTCTGTTTGCTGATAGCACATCTACCCCGAGAATACATATTGTACATGTCGACTTCGTGGGTGGTCTCGTCTTGCGGACCCCCTAAATAACACCCCGCCACTACACCCACTTCTTTCCCATTGGCAAAAGTTATGGCATAGGGACGTACGAACTATGATAGGCCAAACAAAACAATTATACAGGAGTGCCGCCGCCACCGCGGCCGCCGCCGCCCCCCCGTTTCTGTTGGTGCTCGTGCCCCTGCCAGGCGCACGAGGAGGCGGCTGCGAGGGGGGAAGGCTGCGCCGTTTTGGACGGGAGCCTGGTGGAGCGCCTGCACGCGGAGAACGCTCGACGGATAATCGAGCTGCACGAATCGATTGCCGCGCTTGAAGCCGGGCACGAAGCGGGAACGTAAAGCCAGCGGCCTGCCGGTGGTTGTGCGAGGGGGGGGGGGCATTCTTCCCGCGGTGCCCCCGACCCATCGAGTCATGTGTTTTTGTTCGGCTGATGTTGGGGCGCTCTTAGGAGCGGTGGCAGGGCAGGGAGGTCGGAGAGATAAGATGGGAGAGATAACATGGGAGAGAGGTTCGCCTATCTATCAATGTGCGTCGTTCCTTTAAGTTCTCATAGACTGCAAGTGTGACGGAGCGGAGAAATTATGTCTGGTTTCTACAAGGCAAATCCCGAGGAGAGCATCGGAGGGACTTTGTTCACGATCTGTCGGCTTTCCGAAGGCTGCGGGCAGTACGTACAGACACAACAGCGCCTAGGATTTGGTTTGTTCACGCCGTCTGCATAGATAAAAAAGAGGGTGTGCCGGTCCGTCGATTTGGAGAGAGAGACAGATTTGAGGCCGAGGACGGCTTGTGCCCCCTGCATTATGTATCAGCCATGGCGGTGGTGGCACCAATCGATTCGTTCGAACGGTCGTCCGTTTTCGCGGTTTACTGGCAGACCGTCCGCGAGGCGCTCGGAGTAGAGGATTTGCAAAGGGGCATGCATGCTGGGGGCGATGGAACCCAATCGTGATTCATGTCGAAGCTCGTTTGTTGGTGTACACAGAGAGAATTCGTTCGTGGCAGGTATACGTCCACGAGGTGTGAGGATGGGCTGGATGGGGGGGGGGGGGGGGGCTGTCAGAAAAAGTGCTACTCACTTGAGGTATGTTTGTAGCGCGGGCCGACAGCTAGTCTTTGGATCTAGTCTTTTACAGGAGAGATTGGCGAAACTATATTTTGCTACTGTAGTTGCTTTTGTGTGCCGTGACGCGTCCTGTTGTTGTCTCCGCTATGTATGCTGATTTTGTTGGCGTTTTTCCGCGTTAAACACTCTGATTCTGATGGAGCTTGATGGTGCCCGTGTCTCCGTACGAGGACTGACTATGGAACGGTGCAGTCCTTGTTGACGACGAACAGGCTTGCCTGCGTTGAACATGACGAACACATGAGGTACTTTTGTTCAAGACCCCGTGTTACTAGCATCTCTGAATCAAACGTGAGACATCGAAAGTGTCCCCGAAACCAAGAGCCTAGGAGAAAGGGGGCGGTGTTTATTTTTCATCGAACGCCGTTCGTTGTCTGTCCTTGTTGGCCTGTCTTCCAAGCAAGAAGGTCTACAGCAGTTCAAATGATGAGGCAGAGAGAGTAGAGACGATGGAGTACTATTGTACTCTTCTCTTATACTGTAAAGTAGGTCGCAAGAGATTCCACACCCGTTGGACCTGTTTTGAAAGACGGGTCGATCGCTGCGGCACACAAAGTGACGGTGGTGGTGCGGAAACGGCGGCGTTGGAACCGTCTCGCTCGCTGAGAGCTTTCCAAAAACATGTGCGTATGATACATGCGTGCCATTTGTTTTTGCATCCTCCTCGTTCGTCGGTCGTGGAATATTGTTATTAATATCATTATAGTCGAGAGCTCTGAAACTCGGCTCAGGGGACGTGGCGTCTTATGCGACGACCTGCGGGGTGGTGGTGCTTCACGGCAGGCCCCGTAGTATCTTACTACGCTGCTGCTGCAATGATACGGTTACGTTCATAGAAAACGCCCCCCCACCCCTCGAAGAACCTCTTGTTTGGCCCGATGCTCGCTTGGCATTCCTCCGTTGGGAACTCAACGGAGAGAGACTATATATGTCTTTTAAATGCAAGATACAACACAGAAAAGGTTCCCAAAATCTCATTATTTCGAGAACTTCCAACCCTCGAAGCCGAGTTCCTCGTAACGTACTTCACTGAACAGACGATGGATGGATACAGCCAACCACGGTTAGGTGTTCTGAAAAGCGAGTTGTGGCTGGCGCGTTTGTTTCCTCTGTATTCGTTCAATTTGTAGCGAAGAAGCTAGAACAGGCCAATCGCGCACGGACGAGCCGAGTTTGTTGGTCGAGCTACTACACATAGTTAACGAGAGAGACTCCCTTCGCACCGCATCATCATCATTCATTCATTGTCATCATCAACAACGCCGAGGGGGGGATAACTGTGGTGCTGTAGACAACTGTATCTACAGCAGCAGTAGACCACTGGTAGAAGTATGCGAAATTCAATACGTACGGTCACAAGACCGTTATGACTGATGCGGATACAGCAGTCTGCTCCTGCCCGTTGGTTATTATTATGCCCACAATGCACACCGATTACCCATGAATACATTAGTCTACTACAGCCGTCTCCCGTAGCAGCAGTCGTCTACCTGACTGCGAGAAGAGAGAAAGCGAATGGTCTCTGCATTCGACAGGAAAGTAATCACCAACAAGCTTTTTGTTTGTCGTCGGTAGGGTTATGTTAGACTTTTCGTGGTTCCTCGAGACTCCATGCCTACACTGGTGGCCAGAGAGGCAGGTTGGGCACCAACTACAACCTGGGGGGAGGTTGGGAGGCCAACTTCATCCTTGAACCCATTTTTTCTTTCGGCTTGCTATCCGCTATGTTGGTTGGAATACCGCCACTCTCCGAGATGCGGGAAAATCTGCACACTGCTGTGGACTGCAACATCCCCACAACCTGCCCCCCCACAGGTTGTGATCGGTGCCCCAACCTATCCACAACCTGCCTCTGGCCACCGGTGTACGCGTTTGTTTCCTCCGCGTGCTTGCATCATCATACCATCATCATCATTCATCCGCAGCGAGAGAGGGGGTACAGACCACATTCATTCGTCCAATAATTCTCTCGACACACGCAAGAAGATGAGAAATATAAGAACACATAAATATATGATGAAATTCCTTCGAGCATCCTCTGGCAATATGTGCTGGCAATCAAGGTAACGCCCGTGCCTCGCTCACTCCATCCCTCAACACAGATCTTTTGTATGTGATGCAATCGAACCACAAGCGTTTGGACAGGAGCACGGGCTCAGCTCTCAGCTCGTTGAAGCCCCGCTCATCAAGCGTCCATCAAACATCAAACAGAGGTGGGCGGGTTGGGTTCTAAAATAATCAGACAGAGACCCCGAAATTCAAAAATTCAAAAATTCAAAAAGTGACTGTTAAATATTGTGAGTCAAGTTCGCTAGTGATGTTCCATCGAACAGCCAATCAGGCGTCTCGGAAGGGACACGTGGATTGAACATGGAATTCGAGAAGTTCCCGCCAAAATTGAAAAAAAGAGAATTAGCGGCACAACATTGTGGACACATGATGCGAGAGCAAGAAGCCAGCCAGCTGCTTGTGGAGCCAGCTGCTGCCCCCGCCCCGCCCCCCCCCGAGCTCACAACCCACCTTCCCTCTCTCAACCCTCCTTCTCCGAAAACAAAACCAGCAACCCCTTCAGCAAAGCAACCATGGTCTTCGGATTCGGAAAGGACTCGGACTCTGAGGAGGAGAAGAAGAAGAAGCAACAAGAGGAGGAGGAGGCCAAGAAGAAGGCCGGACGCCGCCGCCGCCCTGGCAAGAGGGACAGCGATCCTGACACCGACGAGGAGGAGGAATCCAAGAGGCCCGGAGGGCGCAGGCGCCCCGGCCGCAAGAACGACGGCTCCGCCGACGAGGAGGAGGACGACGAGGAGGGCAAGAAGAGGCCCGGTGGACGCCGCCGCCGCCCTGGCAAGAGGGACAGCGACCCCGACACCGATGAGGAGGAAGAATCCAAGAGGCCCGGGGGGCGGAGGCGCCCCGGCCGCAAGAACGAAGGATCCGCCGACGAGGAGGAGGAAGAAGGCAAGCCTGGCCGCCCACACGGCCGCCCCGGCCGTAAGAAGGACGAGGAGGAGGAGGAGGAAGGCAGGCCTGGCCGCCCGCACGGCCGCCCCGGCCGCAAGAAGGACGACGAGGAAGAGGAGGAAGGCAAGCCTGGCCGCCCGCACGGCCGCCCCGGCCGCAAGCAGGACGAGGAGGAGGAGGAAGGCAAGCCTGGCCGCCCGCACGGTCGCCCCGGACACAAGAAGGACGACGAGGAGGAAGAGGAGGAAGGCAAGCCTGGCCGCCCGCACGGCCGCCCCGGCCGCAAGAATGACGAGGAGGAGGAGCACGATGCTCCCGGCCACGGCAGGCCCCATGGCCGCCCCGGCCGCAAGAACGACGAGGAGGAGCACGAGGCTCCTGGCCACGGCAGGCCCCAGCACGGTCGGCCCCAGCACGGCCGCAAGGATGAAGACGAGCACGAGGCCCCCGGTCACGGCAGGCCCCAGCACGGCAAGCACGGGGCTGGCGCTGCCGCCGGTGCTGCCGCAGCGGGAGCGGGTGCAGCCGGAGCGGCGGCGGCGGCGGGCCACGGGAAGCACAACCAGCAGCAACAGCAGCAGCAGCAACAACAACAGCAGCAGCAGCAGCAGCAGCAGCAGCAGCAGCAGCAGCAGCAGCAGCAGCACGCTCCCAGCCACACCACCCCCATGGAGGTCGACCACAACAACGAGAACCCCCACGCCGCGGGCGGCCACGGCGGCCAAGGCCACGGCGGGCAGGGCCACCAGCAGGCGGACCAGAACTCCGAGCAGGCCAAGATCGAGGAACAGCGGAGGAAGGACGAGGCGGAGCGCATCAGGCTCCAGAAGATCGCAGACAACCAGCCGCAGCAGCCCCAGCAGCCCCAGCAGCCGCAGCAGCCGCAGCAGCCGCAGCAGCCTCACCACAGCAGCGGCCACAACGCCGGCTCTGGCGGCACTGTGACGGTCAAGGAGGGAGAGTCCATCCAGGTTCGTTCCTTGTGGTTGATGAATTTGGGTTTGGAACAAAGAGACATGTTAACCAACGGATATGCAGAGACACGTGGGGGTCAGGCAGCACATACATGCATGTAAGAATTCTTCGTTTGTCCGGGATTCTGCGTGTGCACTGCTGTGCGTGTACGTGCAGCGCGTGTGGATGTGTGTGTGTTTCGTGCTGCTGTGTGCCGCGGCTTGGTTGCCAGCAAGTCAGGGTAGGGCGTGCGCGCGAAGCGCCTGCCAAAGGCGAGATCCCGTGTGGGACACCCTTTGCTCTCCCGGTTGCCGCGCATCTTCAACCAACCCCATTTTTTTTTTTTGGTGTTCGAAAGAGAGCGGGCTCTCTCATGATCACCCATTTTGCCTTTGTTCTTTCCGCCTTCTGTCAAACGCAAGCGACGGCCGCGTGCCAAGCGCGCTTGAACGTCCCACACCACAGCAGCGCGCATTACGACTGTCATCCCCTCGCGCCGGGGGTATAGCGCCCGCGTGTATGCATAAACTGTACTAAGTTTATTTTCGTGAGATAGAAACCACAAGGCAGCAGCTGCACCGCGGCAGCAGTGATCGTGCGCGTGCCCTAAGTTCAAGAGACGGCGGACCGTCTTTCATCCGCCAGCGCATACAAAAATGCTATAAAAATTCTACAACTGCCATCATTTTCACCCGCCGTTGAGAAGCTACATGTAATTCCCGCCTTCTCTTGACAGTGATCTGTACCAGTACACGAGAAAGCGTCCTGGCTTTTGCTTCATACGGGAAGTTTGATCCATCATCTGGCTTTTTGTGGCAAAGAGAGCAGCAACAGCTGTTTCGGATGGTTTTCTCAGCCCCACATCTTGATGATTGATTTCTGCAGGAACAATCTCCCACCTCGATGTTTTCTCTCCCTTGAATTTTTTTGCTCTGGCGTGCTTGGTCTGCTGGTGTCTACAGCAGTAGTGTCGTAGTGTTATGTCTAGTGTCTAGTGTCTAGTGTCCAGCGTACACTTCCAGAACAAATGCTGGTTGCACAGAACGACATCTAGCTGATAACAATGCTGCTTTGTTCTGGACGCCATTGCTGGCATCGTTTGATCCGGTTCAAAGTATCGAGACACTGCTTGCCGCGCCTGTTTCCACTTGCCTGCTGCCTGCCTTTCGCGCCTCTGTTTCACTTGTAGTTCTTCTGTTACAGAGATGAAACAAAATATCGTCGTCCGACGGCGGTGAATCCTAGTATCCAGTATCCAACACAACCCAACGAACGGTCGTAACGTCGTGACCCCGCCAGCTGGATGAAATATACTTCAGCAAGATGTTGCATCATCAGTACCATACTTAAATTTATCTGGAGTGAAATACTTTGCCGGGGTACATTTATCGTGCGTATTTTCACTGGACTTGAGGGGTGTGTCGCAAGTGGGGAACAAAATGATGAATATGTTCTATTGTAGCAGGCAGTGACTCCAACGGTAACGAGAAGGGAATGGGGTGTGCGTTTTATCCATGCACAAGACACAGGCGGTAAAACATTACAGCTCCACCACATCCCGTTCGACTGTGGGTATATCTCGAATGGGTAGAGTCTTTCTGTGTGTGTTTTTATTATTCCTTAATTACAGCAGTTGTATGCCCCGTGCCTTCCTTGTGGGTAAATATGCCACTCTTCTCCTGGCGCCAGCGGCTGAAAGATGGAGAAACATAAAAGAGGTTATGCGTTTCTCAACCAACCCCCTTCGTCTGTTTTTGCTCCTCCCTCTGTTCCTTGTACGTGGTATCTTAAAAAAAAAACAGGCTGCTCTCGACGCTGCCTCCCCTGGCACCACGATCCTGATCGAGGCTGGCACCTACCACGAGGCTTTCAAGTCCCGGGTACGTCATGGTTGGTGATGGTGTTAGAATTCAGGTTAGACTTCTGTGTCGGGACTCGTCCTCCTATACTCCTCAATTTATTTTTGAACAGGCAGCAGAAAGGCAGTACCCGTACCGCGACCTCTGCTCCACCTTTCTCCTGGCGATTTTTACCCGTGTTATCTTATCTCAAGCTTACAAGTAGCACCGATTCAACCCCCCCCCCCCCCCCCCCCCCCTTTTGGCCTTTT